GAATGAGAAGTGGGACTCTAATGTAGGGCTCTAAGTTGTGCAGCGCTACCCTTCCCTATGGATACAGCTATCTGTGATGAATGTTTACTGCAAGCGGCGCGAGGAAGTCTTTCAGTACAACCTCGCGCGGGTAGAGGAGTTGGGATGCTAAGCCGCGCAGAGCCTTGCGCTGTAAACATTTAACCTAAGTACCAATAGGGGATTATGCTAGTGCGCCTGGGCGTTTCCTCATAGCTACAGTCTGGGCGAAGAGCTTTACGTATCAATACCCTACTTCCCATTGCTTCATAAGGTGTTTGCTTGGCTTCATTAGCTAAGAGGATTCCCCAAGCCTTCGACCTTAACTTATACTTAAACAGAACATCTGCCACAATTACAGCCAGCACACTTCTAGCACTGAAATGCCCAACCAAAAACCTTCAATTCGCATTAGGAACGCTAAGTCTTAGAAACCGTAAACGATCCTAACCATTCAATCCCAAACCGTAAATTTGGAAGTCTAAGCCCTGCAGCTTCAGAACAAACTCCCTCAATCCCAAATTGTGCTCAGGTCCTGAGAGCAACCGCAGCACACTGCCAGCCGTTCCGGCCGGGGCCTTGAGAGTCTTCGGGAGCATGTGGACGGTTCACTATGTTGAAAGCAGATTCCTGCAGGGTTTAGACCTCAGCGTTCGGATTTCAGGGTTTGGGTGTGTGCTGGCTGGTTTTTCAGGTTTGAGTTCAGGATCTAGGTCACGGGTTAGGGCATGCAAACCACCACAAGGAACGCGAAGCCCCCAGACGCAGAAGCCACAAGCCTCGCCCCAAACCCCCATCCATGAGATGCAGTGGTGGCCGGCTTGAGGTGAAAGACAGGTTGATGGACTCTTCTTTTGCAGGTGTACATGTTATAACTTATGACCCAGGTGACAGCAAAGATACCACTAGCAACGTCTCGCAAATGCTTGACCCTAACCATCTATCCTTGCACTGTTTCCACATCTCCCTGGGAGACTCACCGAATTGACTTTTAACCCAGAAGCCCCCATGTCCAAATCCTAACCCAAAACCCCCACCTAAATGCTTAAGTAATCCGCTAAGACACTTGCAGGTTCCACTCCGGCACTTCGATGACAAGAAGCAGGACACTTCCCAAAATTCAATTCAGAATTCCGGGAGTCACGCCATGGGTCCGAGTGTTGGCGGAAATCTTGTCTGACTCTCTAAATAGCTAATGAGCCTAAGATTCGTGAGAGTAGGTCAGGTCAGCATGCAAATCGGTTGGAATGTCCGATGCTGAGATTTCCTGCACTTGACCCAGACGTACTAGCCTTTGTGATGAAGGCCGAACAATGCCTGCCTGCAGGGAAGCGATTCCTTGTCTCCCGAAGGCATGAACTAATTCCTTTGTCTTAAGCTGGACCAGTAGATCATCACCATTTGCAGCTTCTGTAGTATGAGATCGCTTCTGCAAAAGTACATGAAGGACTTCCTTCTAAAGTGAGTTTAGGATAGCATATTGTTAGGGTTTTGATGCACCCTCCCCGATTTCGAGCCAGTCTCTCCTTTCTCCTGAGCATTGCGCCAAGTGGGTCTCCCTTTCTGGCCTCCCTTTGCGGTTCATCAGTTTCAGGTAGCATCTTCTTTCAACCGGGCTGTTACTGTTACGATGATAAAATTGTACGACCGCAATTCAGACTTTGAAGGAGGCCGCTGTGGGCGCACACTTTACCTTCAAGGCACTCCGGGGACATCAGGAGAGATCTTGGAATGTCCCTTTTGAGATGGTCTGGGGTATGTGCAGAGATTCGGAGGCAGTACGGTTCCTCGAAGTTATGGCCATCTGCTGGGCAGCTTTGGTAAAAAAGGCTCTTAGTTTTCTGGGTGCAGGGCGTCCCTGTTTTTGAGTTCTCTGGTCGCAGTTTCCGAGTGCTGGGTTTGTTGTCATTACCCCTTTGCCAATTCCTAGCATTGTCCTGATGCATTTGGGCGTTTTGCTCAGACCTGGTTGTAATCAATCCGTATCCCATTCGAGTGGCAGTCCTAACCTGGGAGTTCTTGCACAAGTCATGCATGTTCGTGCTTGGTAGCATGTTGACGTGGTGAGGATGACGACGACCAGGATGCTCATCATGCTGGTTATGAGCACTCACGGTGGACAGTCCTCACCGTTGTCGCAGTCGTCTAGAATTGGTAGCAGTCGCACTAGTCACAGTAGCAGAAGCACTCGTATGAGCAGAGTGAGTAGTAACTGAGTAGTAGCAGCAGTAGCAGCTGGAGTATCCAGTACAAGCGTAGTACAAGTGCAACTCATGATTTAAGCTTGGTTTCTGTGTCCGTGCCAGGTTCCGCGCCACAGCTTCAGCCATCCTACCGGAAGCTCAGCTTGCAAAAAGTTTTGCGGTCGAAGGTCTACAGGACCTACAGTAGATGGAAAAAGTCATGCACCACCTAGGATTCCCACAGTACTGAAGTTCTGAATTCCTATCGTGCAGGGTTGATATGTGATAAAGTCGGGATGAGGATTCAGAGGTTTGATTCAGATGGTTTGTTTCGCCCTTGGAGTTGCGTTTTTCGAGACATGGGGCGCAGGCCCCTGAAGTCAGGAGTGAGGCTTCTGAAGATTGTCTGAGATAAGGCCCAACATTTAATGTTAATGTATCTGTCTGTAGGGATATCGGAGCCAGCAGAGCAAGCAGTCTTCAACTGCTTTATTCTGCTCCCCCCATATTTGATTACTACAAGAAAATACGCGCCATAACATTATCCCAAATATTTGGGCACCTCAACCCCATTGCAACTGGCCCCACCAGCACTGAATCTCGAGTGCATGGCCTGAGTGGGTCCAAGGCGAGATGCTAAGCCGTACGCCGCTAAACCTTGGATTCAAGATTTAGGATTTCGTATTTCGGGTAACCACTGCCAGAACCCCATCTACTCTACATCGGACCTCATACAATTTTCCTTGAGGATCCAGGTACGTCAACCATGGTTTGGTGGCTGTTCAGTTTAGCCGTAGATCCTGAAACCCTACACTCTACACCGGGTAACTTTCCGCCTCGATCTTGGGGATTATGGTCCTTCATAGCAAGGGTCATGCGTTCTCGCAGCAAGGTCCAAGGAGGAGGCCACATTCTTGAAGCTTACGATGGTTCATTTTCTGATGTACCACGTACTGGCATGATAGTTTTCTGACTACGAGAGGGGACGTTATGTTGAGACTGCGCCTTCCATCGTTGGTTTTTTCTCGTGGCTTTGTGACATTTGGTACACGTACTGGCTGCTTCCAAGGCTCTTCTGATACATTGACAACTTTCCCATAACAATCTCCACGGCAACCACAATCCCCAAATCCCAATCGTTTACTCCACTCTCATCTGAACCTAAAGCTCCAGACTCAGACTCTAATCCTTACTAGCCCCACACTCGTAAATCCTTTGCTGGAAATCCGAAACCTCAAATCTGAAACCTGAAGCTCCTAACCCTACGCCCTCAAATAAATCCCAAACTCTGTGCGGGTGAAGCCTTCCCGCCCAGGAGGGGTGCAGCTGCGGGCGCAGCGAAGCTCTTCTTTCATGGCTTCAGGGCTTCAGCGCTTGACAGGGTTCAGGGTTCAGGCCTAGGGTTTCGGGTATTGGGTTCATGGTTTAAGCTTGAGGGGCCTAGCGCTTCAGTCGTTGGGCTTCAGGGCTTTAGATTAAGTTTCAGGGTCTTTACCGTGGTTTTACAGGTTCAGGGTTCAGTGTAGTCATCTGCCCAAGGTGGGTAGTCGCATGCTCTTTCATTCATTCTCACAACCCCTGCAAGAACTGACTGCCACTTTCTTCAGGGGATTATTCAAAGGCTAGTAACTTGGTTGGAGAGATTGTAGGGATTTTCGCAGCTCTTGCTCTCGTGAAGATCCGCACTAGGATTTATGGTTATAAGTAGCTGCACCCTCAAACAGTTACTCCAAGCAGCATTCCTACCGCCTAAACCCCACGGAATCGCCTCTCAAACCTGAAAACTGGAAGCGTATTGAGCAAGCTGGGCGAGCTCACTACTGCTGTTGTTGTACTGGAATTCAGACCTTGGAGGTTTCACATGCCCATCCCTCAGCCAAGACCTTACGCCCAGTGGTCGATTGCCACAACCTACCCCACGGAACCCAAGGTTAGGAATATGCTAGTATTCATGACAACACGAGGCAAGTTTCCAAAACCTCGGTTCCAAGTCCCTAACTCTTGATTACTGACTGGGGTTATGCAGCTGAGCCCTCTAACGAGAATGAGAAGCCTTACCAGCACCACCTCGACTAAGACCATGAAGAAGCCCAAGCTCCAACGAAGGGAACGCTGGTACATTATGAGGTCTAGGTGCATCTAAATGCTATAGAACCCAACACCGAGTGAACATCCTGAAGCCCCCGCTCGCCCACAACTCTGAACCAGAATCCTCACACCTCAACGTCTAAGGATCAGATGGCCGCCCATTGCCGCACTGGCTGTGCCCGGGCTGCATCTGAGAATATTCACAGAGCCTCGGGGAGAGGTTCAAGAAAATAGTGGAAGGCTTGCAGCCTGGCCCTTAAAGCAAGAGAGCGGGGGAACCCATTGGGCTATCTGAGAATATCTCCTCCCCCAAAGCGGTCCATCTAGAACGAAGTTAGAGATAATGTGAGCATGTAGAAGCCTAAATGGCAAAACAAAAGCTAAGAAAGGTGTCTGCTGGCCTGCGTGCTCACTTAAGAGCAGTCAAGCTGTTACTTGGATTGTGGTTTGTGCATTTGGGCAGACACATTCCCGCAGAAACATGTCCCTTCCCCCAGACTACACCACCGCGAAGTCCTCTTTGAAAAGAAGGGCACTTTTCAGGGTGTCTTGTTAGTTTTGAGAAGGTTATATAGGCTTGTTGAGCTACAGCATCTGTTTCATGTACCAGCCGCTTGGTTATGCATACTTTAGTCAGAAGCCAGCACCCCAAACCGTCAACCCGGAATCCCACATCCTAAATCCTATAGGCCCCACGGGAGCAGTCCCGAGGCAGTTCGATCCGCATTCGCAGACGTTCAAGGGAGTGCCGAGCCTCGCAGATTCAGGTGGGATGGGGAATTTGTGTAAAGGTTGGAGATTTCGGGTGTGCATATTTCATCGAAACGAGAGGCTCATTCATCTCTAGTATACTGGGATGATCAACCCCTCTTGCCATCAATGCAGCAAGCTGTAGTGCAGGGACCCCGAAGTTGTCACAGGTTAGGACCAGTCGGAGAGTCGGAGGCTGTACCCAATACGCAACTCGAAGGACATGCAGCAGTCAATGAATCTTCAATGAAACGAAATGCACTAGTTTGTTGTTGTGTTTCTACTTCATAGCAGGAAGCCCGAAAGCTACGAACAGAGACAAACTCTCACCGCTTCCAGGTCTTCTTAGCGTGGAGGTCATCGCGGAGGCGCACGGTGGCACAGCGCGGGACAGCTTTCTGATAGCCGCTCATCTTGCTCAGGATGGAAGGTAATCAAACCCTCTCCCCAGTACCGCCGCCGCCACTCAGGCGTGCATAGTCAATATCCTCTATATTCTATTCCGAAAAGCTTGACAGACATATTCTATGTTATGGCAGATTGGGGGGTGCCAATGTCATGGGAAGGGGGTTATCAGCATCGTCATGCTGTTGGCGCAAGCACTGCGCAAGGAATGGGACCCCGACAGACCTTCTCCATATGTAGACCTTCAAAAGCTTACCTGTCTTCTCACACCCGCCTCACCCCCACCGTACTATTCAGAATCTGCAAAAAAAAGATCATCACAGGCATGCTGATACCATAAAGAACATCAAGAGAAACAGCCATGCGCTAGGTCCAAAGCCCAGCTACTACAGCCAAGAAGAGCCAGTATGCCAAGGACGTGGCGCCGGCCAACCCTGATCTCGCAACGGTTCTGCTCAACCAGCCGGAGCCGCCCACCTGAAGGTCATTGGTTCGGATACCTTGGGCGCCAATTATGAACTCCAACCCTAACGCTTGCATTTCAGCTGGGTCTAGATTTCGGCTAGTGCGCGGCTGGCATTTGTACAGGGTTTGGGGTTCAGGGTCTTAGAGTCAAAGTTTGGCATGGTGGGACAATTTCGCTAAGTCCAGGTATGAAAGCCCGGACGGCAAGGCAGAAAGAAGGTACATCTGTATAGCAGACTAGAGACGGTTGGCCAATGCCCTCCAAGCCCCAAGCCGCAAGCCCCATACAACCACTGGACGCACTCCAACAAGGACGAGCAGCAGCGCCGCACCACCTAACTGGATCATGGCAGTGGGCATTCTGCAGCTGGGACCATACGATGCTGGCTTTTTATGGTTTCCCATGTAAAGCAGCGTGCTCGGGATTGAGGTATCATAGGCCTATAGGGCCTAGGGCTGAACCCTGAGGATCGATGATTGAGGGTTTTGAGCTCAGGGCTCAGGTCTGAGGATTAGGCGGACTATCCTTGAATCTTAGCTGTCGAGCATCTTGAGGCAATGGTTGTAGGGGTCAAGCCGTAGATGCTGAGTCCTGGGTGTGGCCCTAAGTTAACATGTAACATGGGATTTGAGAGACATCAGGTAGTGGTTATGGTCGTAGCTGGACCTGAGCATTGTGCAATGTGCAATGTCGGAATTCTCTGGCCGACTCTGGCACATGTGGCGTATCCCTTTACGAGAGAGTCCCAAATCAGCGGGATTGCGGAATAAGGATACGATGCTGCAGGTTCGCCTGTATTCTCAACATCATGGGTTCCCCTGGCATCTTTACAGCAAAAGCTCTTTCACATGTGTTGATGCATGTGGGAAACTAAAAGACGTTTGCAGGGCTCGCATCTATCAGAGCTAGAAGGTATGTGAAAGCAAGTTCTCAATCAAGATTTCCATTAAATTCGAGAATGTACGACCAGAGCTTGACTAGTACCGCGCGGGTGTGTGTCTCTTCACAAGGGTGCCCAGAGGCATAGGATGACTACAAGGAGATAGCAGGGCTCCCGGTTAGGGATTATGCAGGATGATTTTCAGAGAGCCTGAGCCCTGGAATCTAAACCCCCAACCACACTCAAACTCTAAACCTCGATAGCTCTAGCTTGCAAACCCCCTGCCTGAAAGTCGTAGCCTCAAAGGGCTTTCTCTGTGGTGACCTGCATCCTCGCATTTGCAGTGTTTGGCGTGAAGGCGGGCTTGTGAGGAGTTTAGGGTTTAAGGGTTCTTGGGATGAGACGCCGGGAGATCGCTTTGAATCAAGGGATTATGAGGGTGAGGTGTAATTATCTCTGTGTAGATTTTGGTTATATATTTATATATACAATAAAACCAGCCCACTTTATCATGATCATGCTACTCAAGCATGCAGGAGTTCAGGAGAAAGGTGATATTATTGTCAGCTGCATCCACAGGTCAATGGTTCTCCGTTTAGGTTTGGGCCACTCTTGGGGTATGTAGGGAGAATTTTTTGTAATGGGCACGAGGGCTTACAGCTTACTGTTTGGGGCAGGGCTGAAACTTGCACTTTCATCAGGCTCATCATGATTTCGGGTTCAGGTTGCAGAAGTCCGTCACAACTGCCCGGCGCACGTGTTTCAAGTGCCGGCTAAAGTGCAGGGAGTGAGAGCGCTAGATGTCGATGAAGAAGCATCGTGCAGCCAGTGGACCAATGTCCCAAAATTGCCTGGAAACCGCCGCCATGGAAAGCTTTGACGCATGCACAGTCGCGTAAAGAATTTCTGAGCTTGCTCTTCGGCCCGTCCCAGAACTCACCTTCCTGGTGGTTAGTAGGGCATGGACGGTTGGGAGGAATGAATTCCAGTCAGTCCCTGCGCCATTTTTTTAAAGAGATCCTAGAATATACATCCCTCATTCCCTGTTACCCACTCTGTCAGTCATTCTTCGGCCCCAAATCTCCGGCTCTGCCTGGGTGTAAGACCAGTCCTGAATCATGCCCAACGAAATTTGATCATGTCTCAGAAGTCCTGCGTCAAGGATTGCAGATGTGCGGTTTCAAGTCATGATGCTACGCCCTGAAGGGTTTCTTGCTTCCACGCATCCAAAAAATCGCGGAACTCTATCACATTTGCAAACATGTAGCAGAACAAATGTACGTGATTTCCCCGGCTGGCAAAACTCTGAACCCTGAAATCTTATGGGGCTCAGGCCCCCCTGGAGAGATGACCTCTTAGAAACCCCAAAGGGCTATTCCCCCAACTCTAAGTACGCCATAAACCGAATCCTGGAACCTTAAACCACATACCCGAAGCTTTGCCTGGTTCCTGCAACTTCCAGTACAGGTCTCCTTTGTTAACAAGAAGCGGCTAAGCCGCGACGATGGCGAGGCTGCAGGGTGACGAAACAAAGCATCAGGTCAGGGCATTTAGGGCCTTAAGCTTTGGGATTTAGGTCTGGGGATTTCTTTGGGGTGTAGGCTTTCAGGGCCTGGTGTTTTGAGCTTGGATTCTGTGATGTGTGCTTTGATGCGCTTGAAGCTTCATGTGTCTGTATGTTTGTTGTCCTTACAGACGATGGTGGTAATCAGGCCTCGCATTGAGCTTCCAAGGCTATGGGGCAGAATAAGCAGAGGTAGGGCAACCTTCCTCCAACAACCGTGTTTTGCAAGCTCCTATTGCTTGGCCAGGACTAACGTAGTTGCCCACTTTTGGAAGAACAGTGCCCTGTGCTTGCGAAAGCATTACTAAGCCCCTGCGCGTGCAGAGTCTGGAGGCCCTCTGAATATCTGAAGCAGGACAAGAAAGTAGGAGTGCGTTTAGGGATCGTGGGTCCTCGGTTGCCATGTAGGTTTCAAGCTTCTAGGGGTCACGGGATTTGTTTTAGGAAGCTCTAGTTGACGCTTGAGGAGAACCAGTACACCAGCCAAGGATGTTAAGAACAGTATTACCTTCTATGTCGATGGATCAAAACCTGCATGGCAGTAACAAAGACCTGGTCCTCCAGAATTCTGTTATCTTAAACATACCTGGGTTTGTGCGGCGCTTTGTCCATCACAATGAGGATCCCTTGGCAACTGCAGGTGGGAAGGGTAAGATTAGGCACTGAGTCTTAAAACCTATTAGGAAGAAATGATAAATGTTTATTATTTATTCACCCCAAACCCCAAGAATCCTTATGGAGCTTTGGCCAATGGCCTCCAAACCTGGGTCACCCCTCAAGAAGCTTTGAAAAACCCGCAGAACACTTTGTGAAAGCCTTGTTGGCTCCTAGCAAGGGGCAGCGGTGCAGTAAGGGAGCGGGCTAGCATACCAGGACCGTACCCCACCCCTCCAGCCAGGGCGACTACGCGCCTGTGGGACAATCCCGAGTCATTCGCTGCTGCAACGCCAAGCCACGCGGTCGCAGAAATGTACCCCAAATGGGTGCATCCTCATTTTTGACCGTCCGCAAAAAAGTCTGGGAGTCTGACGCATTTACCAACAGTGGCTAATTCGCAGTACCATCCGGATTGCCACATTTTTCATAGGCTAAGGGTTGATGAGCCATCTCCTTCGCTGGAGGAGTTGGGCTTTTTTTGGCTTCAGCAGTTTAATAATTTGCTATGTGCTCAAGAGATCTGGATGTGGGGTATGGACACCTAACTGAACAGCTGCAAGAGCTGAAGCCCAAACCCTGAAGCCCCAACTCCCTCTTTCCAGCCTGAAGCTTCCTATTGGCTAAGGTACGAAAACTTCGCGAACAAAACGACCGAAGCACAGCTTTCCGACGATATAGTTCGGCTGGACGACCCATAGCGCGGCGGTGTTGTTTTTACAAGTTTTCAAGTTCATGATTCATAACTGAGGGGAAACGGGCCTCCTCTTCTCTGATCATACCTCGACATGTACATGCATCCCATGGCATGGACATCATGTGGGTGGTTGTCCAAAAAGGGTGCCCTTTTCCATGCTGACTAACCAAATACCTTCCGAAGTTGTGGAACGCCAAGCACTGACCCAACTTTCTGGAATCCTCCATACAATCCAGCAAGTAAGGAATGATAGTATTGAGTCGAAAAGGATAGTGGACGTGACGCTGAGAGTCATGATCGTGGCAGTAGTAATACGGAAGACGATGAGGCTAGAGATATTCGTCCCATGCAATCTGATAGAATGCCTACTGATGCTGCAAAATTGATGGTCAATCGCGTGCTCCAGCTTCAAGATTCAAAGCGTTTTGTTTGTGGCTTTCGGTTCTGGACTTTCGGAAAGAATCACGTGACCGGCTTTGCCATGCATGCGCAAGCGCAAGGTAGATGATAGACGCCTGAAGAACGAGGAGGATAGTTCTTATGACCTTTATTCGGGGTCTATAATAAATCGGGACCCCCCATGCCACCATGTATGGAACCCGCAATCAGTAGCTTAATATGCCCAGCAATACTATTCTAATAGCGTAGGTCCTGACCCAGAGCCTCTAAAGGCCCGATCCTAAACCGCTAAACACTCAACTCTGAACGCAAAGTTCCTGAGATGCTGGATTTCTAAACCCAACCCTCAAAGCACATTGTTTTAAGATAATGGGTCGCGTCTGGCTGTAGGAGAAATTCGCTGGGCAGGTTTGGGTCTGCTCTTCACATGCTAAGCTCCCAATAAGTAAATTTCTTTCCCCTTTTTGGAGTCCTCCTAGGCTGCCCAGAGACTGCATGTCTTTGCCAGGGACCGAAAAACACATACAAACCGAAGGATCTTGATTTGGTAAGGCCCCCACTTCAGGAAGGCCTGGAAACCTCATGGTAGAGATCCTTAGGTTTATATGGTGTTCTGGGTCCTTCTTTGCTGCATGCCTGAATTGAAAAAGGCACTTGTCAGACGGTCATTGGCAAGGTCTCCGATAAACACTTCCCGGATTTTAGGGACTGAGGAGTTGAGGATTTCCTGTAAGACCGAGAGGTTAGAGTATGACACGTGTGTTGTAGAAGCATGGAGAACTCTGCTAGTGGGTATCCGCAACTTTCAAAGTTCATGACGTTCATGATCCACTTAGAGCCCAAATGCGGGTCACAAGATTTTGCAATGCAAATCCCCTTCCACTTGAAGTGTTGCATCCAGGTTCTGCGGACCTCAAAGGGCAGGGACCGTTGTAGGAGTTCGAGAGCCCGACTCAACGCGAACCAAAGCCCTGGACAAGCTCGCAGGCTTTAAGCTACGTGGCCAGTTTGGAGGTTGGCAAGTAAAGGGCACTAAGATAATGGGGATATTTGAAGAGACCCTGATTCTGCTAGACTCCTAGCTTGCTTTGGAGACATTGCCTTGTACCCCCTGAATTTCCCATGCCGACGCTGCGTACCTTCCCAGCTGAAGAAGAAGATTCAGCGAGCACCTGACATTTGAAGTGGTCGTGTATACCTTATCATGAGCTTACCCTGAGCTAGGGCCTATGACGTTGCAAGTGGTTCGACAGGACAACAGGGTCTGTCCTGAACGTGTTAAACAAGGCTTGCAGTTCAGATGTCCGCAAGCACTGGTACCCTCGAGTCACATGTTGAGTTCAGACTGATTCAAGTCAGAACTTCTAGCAACAAATCTCTTGGAGCATACCGGTCTTGTTTGCCAGAGTGCTTTGGGCCCCAGATCATCCAACATTTCGAGTATCTCCTTCGAGCCAAGCCAAAGTCAGGTGACATATTCTATCCCAGCATAATCGTGTACAGAGCCAAGAGGAACCATGTTTGACGGGCACTCTAGTCGTGATTAAGCCTATTCGTTTAAAGAAGACCCGTTGCATTGCAAGCCCTGCCCCTGCCCGCCCGAGCTCGCAGAGGCCAACACAACACGCGTTTTCAGCCTAAAATCAACGACTTTGGGATTTATTTTTTGTTTCAGGGTCAGGGCTCACCGGTGTGCAGGGCGCCTATTTCTGAAACATAGCCATCATGGATGAGAGATGTCTTCATCCTCCTATCCAAAGGTTTCAGCCTCAGGGTTTCACATGACGATTTAGTCTAAGCCTCAAATCCAGGCCTTCAGCTGGAGGCTGCAGCTCCCGTTTGTTCGGTGTGTGTTCACCACCAAAATCTGTACACAAGATCCGCACGCGGTGGAATACAGCATGAGGCCTTCCCGCCACTCACAGTCGTGGCCATGCAAATTCAGAGAGTACAATACTCCAAGATGATATACTGATAAATACTATTTTAACCATTCTTGCAGTTTCAGGAATACGCCTTCACCAAGGGTATGGAGGTTTTTTTTTATGAATAAGCACGTATCACGGGTGTGGGGCCAAGGGGTGCAATAGAGAACGGACCCCCCCAACAAGCCCCAACCTAAACGCTTAAGCCTAAGAAGGCCTTAGACTGTACATGCATGTTGTGCAAGAAGCGGACTTTGGTAACCCCAGCCCCTGAAATTAGGAGCCTAAGCAAAGATATGATGGCTATAGGGTCCTAATTTTGAAGGTTGCGGTGACCAAAAATCCCTCAACTCTCACAAGCAGCCCACTGCAACTGCGCAAAGCTCGCAGCCAGAGGGCTCTGCCCAAATCCCCCGCGGGAGCGGAGAAAATGATTAGTCAAGAGCTCCTTCTTGGTTGCAAGACTCAAGGGCTTATCACTTTTAGAGTATCTGAGGGGCACACTGATCTTAACACAATGGTGGTGAACATTTGACGTTGGCTTTAGGGTGTGGGGGTTGGGACTGCGGGCTTCCGCTGGTTTCGAGTTCAGAGTACAGGGCTTATATGGCTTAATGTAGAGGATTGGGAGTGCAGCGGTGTTTCAGGTTTAGTCGGGTCAGGCGGTATGAGGCCGTATGGTCTTTTGAGTTCAGGACTTATCGCTTAGTGCCTGTGGGCAGTTGGGGTATTGTGTGCGTGTGTGAAGGTTTCAGGCTGGAAAGCTATAGTGGCTCTTTTCAGTCTTTACATATCCCCTTGACTCCTGATCCCTTTTACGATTCCATGTTAGCTTGAAGGAGGATAGTGCTGCATCCTTCTGATGAAGTCTTGCCTGCGTTCTGCCCAAAAGCTGCGGAAAGCATGCACCCTCAGCAAGTATTGGCAGTTAGGTGAAGGCATCCTCCAGAACAAGCTTTACGTTCAGTACATGTGTAGAGACACAAACACGTTTTCATACTGGATGTTCTTATCATGGGCACACACACATACATATATACATATATGTGTATGTGTATATATATATAACTGTAGGAGATGCATGGACGTGTATATATATATAGAGACAATCTAAGCAAAGCGACCAGAACCCTTGTGACGCCGTTCCTGCGCGGCTCCTGTTTCCAAGATGGCGGCTGTGGCAAGTTTGGAAGTGTCATTTTCGTTGAACCTTGAACCCAAACCCCTGAAGCCTGAACCCTAAGCCTAAGAAAAGGCTTCCGCTTTGGGATCCGTTCTGGTCCCCATGGTAAGTGTTGCATTTGAAGCTTTACAGTATTGCAGCCTAGAGCCTAAGCCTAGGTGGGCCTGGGACCCCTACCTGACATTCGCGAGACATCGCTGCCAGCGGGCATGAGCCAGGAGGCAGGTTGCGTTCTTGCTTCAGTACCTTCCGCCTTGTCTATAAACCCTATACCCCAAACACACCTGAAGCCCAAACTCCTAGAAGTGCTTTGGTTATTGTTTTCTTTTTTCTTGAGTGCATGGCTTCAAGATTTGGGCTCCAGGGCGTTGAGATTATGGGTTTAGAGGTTGGGGGCGTATGGCGAACTTTAGTCCGGGACCCTGGAAAACTAGATTGGAACTTGGGTGGATACTGGAGCCTGAGCTCGCAGGTGCCGAATGTTAAGCCTCAGCCAGGAAGCTGCATTTTAAAGAGGTTGCATTTGTGACCCTGAGGCCGAAACCCTAAATGCTCTCAAGAGATGCGTTACCAAAGCATTGGAGGATTGTAGGAAGTGTCTATAGCAGTTAAGCATGGATGTTTTGCTCAGGTGTCGCGATGTGGTTTGCACTTCATGTTCTGTTGAGTGCAGGTTTTGTGGAATTTGGGAGGCTTCTAAGCTGCAGGCCACATACTGAAACCTCCAATCCTACACTTCAAAACGTAGGGGTGTAGTCGTGTGAGAGGTCGAGGGTCTAATTGCTAGGCTGGTGCGGCCTCGAACTCTGTACATGCAGAGATTGAAATCGTAGAGCTTTGGCTCCTCTTCTTGGGTTCTTCATGATAATGCATCTCTGTACGTAAGTTAGCCCCTCTGAAAACAGTCGCGCACATGAACCCGCGAATGGCTAAGGCTCTGTGGTTGTGCCCAAGAAGGTGTTTCTCACAGAAATCCTTCTGCATATCTCTCCGCTAGAACAGAGGGCTGGGTGTCCCGTACCATACTGCACTGGCAGGATTGGGAGAAGTCCTTCAAGTCCAGCCTCAAAGGCGACCAGCCAACATGCTTCTTAGCCTGGGGAGCACTTTGAGACACGACTCCATGTCCCTGAAGAACATTCCAGACCAGACCATGGGGACTTTGTTTTGCATGTTTCAACTTTGAAAGCACCGGGCATTTTTCCTACATTCAGGATTCCCTTGCAAGGTGTAGGGTCCCTTCAGGAAGGATCCCGATTGTTGCGTGGTAGAACTGATGGTATGGGCACCTTTTGGGAGAACTTCAAAATTCCCAAAGCTAGTGGTAGGCTTGAAGTACATTGCAGCTTGGATAAGCAGAAGTACCCTTCCCGCTCGATTCTGTGATGTTCTGCTCCATCTGCTGGACGCAATGCCCCAAAAGATTGCATAGGCCCCCTACGGCATATCGCAGTGTACAGGGAGTGGCCCTGTGGTTGTGGTTTCGGATGTTGAGTT